TCGCGTTTACGACCCACGATGTTCCGCGGGCCTGCCTGAATCCAGCGGTACGGAATTTGTCTATAAGGTTTGGTATGCTCGCTGGTAGGCTGATCGTGATTTACATGTCCGATCCTTCTGGAATTTGTGGCAACATGCCACGCAGCCTGTGCCGAAAATCCACCGCTCACGCAGTCCGGCTGGTCATGGTGGTGAGGAAAGAAGCGCGTTTATGAATCCAAACGAGGGGCCCGATTTTCGAGCCGAGAATGATGGTTTGCAAACCCCCATTCTGGAGCCGAGAGTGGTGGTCTGGAAAATGCCAATTTCGAGCCGAGGCGGATGGTTTGCAAACCTTATTTTCGAGCCGAGATTGGTGGTTTGCAAACCCCCATTCTCAAGCCGAGGAGAACTGGGGTTTGCAAAGCCCCATTGTCGAGCCGACTGATGGTTTGCAAACCCATATTTTCGATCCACTACCATCCACGACTAGCCAGAGATAGCCAGGAAGATGCACTAATATCCACTGATATCCACTAGCAGCCACTAATTTCCGCTAATAGCCACTTTCAGCCACTAATGGCCACTAATAGCCACTAATATCCACTAATAGCCACTAATATCCACTAGTAGCCACCATATATCCACTAATATCCACTATATATCCACTACTAGCCAGTACAATAGCCACTAATAGCATACACTATACTAGCTTATGGCCACTAATAGGTTCAGAAAACACTTTTCGTGATTCACAAAAGGTTTCCTAGGAAATGCATATAAGATATGTACGTAATTATATAAGTACAGCTACCCTTCTTTATGGCCTCTAAGTTACTAAGTGCCATCATCCTTTAAGTAGGCCCCGCAGATTGTAACAGCTTCAGGCCTACGATAACATTGCATGTTTTTGGTAGGTGCCCTGTAGTTCAAGCCATCCAGGTCTCTGTAGGATTTCATGCTCATGCTTGAGGAGCTGAAAGGTTGGGGGTCTGTAGTCTAGAGAGCTCAAAGATCACGGTTTGGGGTTCTACTTAGAGGCTCTTGTGACGGTTTAGGGTTTAGGGTTTAGGGTTTAGGGTTTAGGGTTTAGGGTTTAGGGTTTAGGGCTTTTTTGGCTACCGTAACTACGTGGACTGTTTGTGTTATCCACTTCTCTCTCTACCTACACCCAATACTGTGTCTCCCGAAGCCTTCGCAAGGCATTGACTTTTGAGGACATCCTCCTCAAGTTCAGGCTTGTGAGAACTTCTTCGAATACAAATGGGCAGTTCTCGAAAATAGGGTTCCTTTCTTAGGTCCCCAATATAGTGCGGCACCCTTAAAAAAAGGACCCTAAAAGGGACCCTAGTTTAAAAAACTACCCAAATGGCCTTACCCTTTCCAAAGGAGTTCAGGGAAGGTGATATCTCAGAGAAACTCTCGGACCTGAAGCCCTTCCGTCCAGAGCTGGACGGTCGCGTCTTTCGAGCTAAGACTCCGAGACTGGCTCTTTGAAGCCTCTGGGAAGGTTACTCGTAAGTAGGGTTTAGGGTTTAGGGTTTAGGGTTTAGGGTTTAGGGTTTAGGGTTTAGGGTTTAGGGTTTAGGGTTTAGGGTCTCTTAGCCCGAGAAAAACGGAAATCCAAACTGTCCTAAAGCCTTGCCCAGATTCCATGGCGGCCCAAGGCATTCCAGAGCTTGAAACCTTAAGCTCTAAAGCCCAAAACCCTAAGCCCCTAAACCCTAAACCCTAAACTTATAAACCCTCAACTTACAAGCCCTAAATGCCTAAACCCTGCTGAGCCGCCAACCAGTGTCCGAGGAACACCCCCGGCTGGCTCGTAATGTTGAACCTGGCAGCGTCACAAGGGTCTTTACTTTTAGGGGTTTAAGGGTTTAGGGTTCAGGAATTTAGAGTTTAGGGTTCAGGAGTTTAGGGCTTAGGGTTTAGGGCTTAGGGTTTAGGACCTCAGGATTAGGTTCAAGACTGCCGGGATGGTATGGGCCAAGCTGCTCTTTCAATTTGGGGTTGAAGGTACCATAGTAGAGAAACCTGCTAGGAGCCCTTTTGGAACCCTGAACCCTAAAGCCCTAAACCCCTAAACCCCTAAACCCCAAACCCCTAAACCCCTAAACCCGAAACCCTAAGGCAACCCTTTAGACATGGCAAAACCGGGCCACAGCACTCCAAATCGCAGACGGCATTGATCCCCCGGCCGGGCCCGACGTTCAAGGAAAAGAGGTCCTGGGTTTAGGGGTGTAGGGTTTAAGGGTTTAGGGTTTAGGGGTTTAGGGGTTTAGGGGTTTAGGGGTTTAGGGTTTAGGGTTTAGGGGTTTAGGGGTTTAGTGTCCACTATGCCACATTCTGACTCTA